GTCTATTTGAAGGCTTTCGGAAAACCATCAATCCTGACAAGTACGTAAAATCAATGGTCAATTTGTACAATTTATTTTCTTGCTTGCTTGGGTTATAGGTAAATAGTTTTGTTCACTTCTTTTCTGTTCTTTCTTTGACATGTTAGACTTCTTTCAGGAAAAATATTGTTAGACTTATTGATGAAATGAACAACAAGAAGCTAACTTGGGAAGAATTTGCGACTCAAGTTAGGGGCTTACATGTAAACAGGACAGGAGCACCAAATGCTAGAGTTGTTGGTGATTCACCAAAATTGGAGGAAAATTTCTATGCAAATCCTTTCCCTGGTTGTGTTTGTCCAAGACCTGAAGAGAAGAGCAAATGACTAATGAGGTATTAGAAACAATAGAAGGCAATATAGGCCTAATTGCTTATAGGCTTCCAATGGCTAAATTTTGCAATCTCAGTCGCAGATGGAGAAGTCTCTGATGAGTAAGTTTCTCCTCCGCTGCACAGAGCCAAAGACCAGTTAACTCGGAGCCATATCAGATTTATTGTATATATCATACTCAGCTTGCTGATTCTTCACTAATTGAACATTTAGAACGGGAAAATCCATAAAAAATCAAGTACAATTACTCAATAGACAGATGCTTATACAAATCAAGTTTACATCTAAGCCATCAGATTATTTAAGCATGCTTATATATTCAACTTCTGCTTTGCGGACAGGAGTTCAGGTAATCATTGGGTATTTCATCATCACCTTGAATAAAGCTATGTACAAAACCATTTTGTACTTTACTATATACAATTCAATCTGCCTTGAATTTCTGATTGTATTATGGAGCGAAGGATGATACTCTCAGATAGTTCAGTACCCTCTAAATTCCAGGACACAATAGCAGTGCTGCACAGGCGCAAAACGAAAGACAAAGAAAATACTCTATCGCTGACTCAAAACTTTCTGGTGAACTAATGTGCCCTGCTCTGTATAGAAATCATTTCTGATAAATTATCCAGTTGGTCATACCAATCAAGCAAAAGACTTGAGAAAGCGAGAACAAATAGAAACAGCTAAAGGAAAGTTCTGCTATTTCTGCGCAAAAGAGAATCACATCT